CTGTCTGCTTTTAGAGAAACAATTTAATATAATTCAGATTTCTATCATTTAACCAGGCTTTAGTCTATGACAAGCCTTCAGTGCTTAAGCTGGTAGTTATTAATGTCCTTTAATCTTGTTTCATAGATTTTTATCTACTGCTTTTTTTTGGAAGACAAATTAATTCTCTAAATCATTCCTATTTATTTCTTTATTATGGAATGTTATCAGACTATTCCAGTGTTCTTAAGATTACTAAAACAAAACAAGCATAACTTCTCACAAATACAGGTTTCACATCCATGTCCCTTTAGATCTAATTATGGCCAAATAGTGCAACAACAGAAGAACTCAGTTGGCTATAGATCATTTCACCACATTGCTGCCAAGGTTAAAACCAGCCAGCCAGTACCTAGACTAGTTCCCTTGTGTAGGGAACTCTGTGACTATAAGACACACATTCTTCCCCCAAAGCCAAAAGAAAAATAACCTCCTCCCTCCAATTCCTCCCACTCTCAACTTAGGCACACGCTGGTTTAGATGAACCCTGCAACTGACTGCTGCAAGAGCTGAACAATTTTATAGCCAGATGACCCATCTTAAACACAAACTTCACTATGGTATTTCCTGCTTTTTTCCTTTCTACAATCCACTCCTTTAAATACCAAATAAAACGCGTGAAGTGCAAGTGAGAAGATCAATACTCTCTTCTTCTCCTGCTTAAAAACCTGCATTTCTTCTCCTTGTCTCTGCTCTTATTTTCCAGAATCCTCCTACGTTTTCTAGATCCTGATAGCATCTGCAGTTTGAAGACTGTGAGCGACCGGTTTCTGTTATGCCTTTGAATACGCACACAAATGCACTCAGATCCACATGATGATGATGAGCATGTTGAGAGATGCTATCAGTTGTAAACAGATTTCTCAACCACAAATAGCACATGACTCTAAGCGCCAGGGATGACTGTTCATAAGAAAATCCCGGCAGCTTTGACCTCATTCAATAACCAGCTGTAGGAGAAAGCTCCAAGGAAGGAGGAAGCAAGACTGCAGGTGTTCACAGCATTTACAACAGAGCTGGAAGGGTGGCAAACCAGTGGCGAGAAACTATCGACCTGTTGCAAAATGAAGCTGTTATCGCTGCTGGAACAGGGTGGGGGGTAGGCAATGGGTATCATGCTCACAGCTGTGAGGAGTAAGGGCACACTATTTCTCTGCACTTCAGACCATTTGTACTCCCGACACTGTCAGATGTCTCTAAGTATCACTCTTTAGTCTGCCTTCAGATTTTGCAAAGCACGCTCCACAACCAGAACTCCACAAATGACAGTCAGACGTCTCTAAGTATCACTCTTCAGTCTGCCTTCAGATTTTGCAAAGCACGCTCCACAACCAGAACTCCACAAACAGATGCAGTAAGTTCAAGGCAAATCGTGCTCATTATTTTGCACTATTATCATTATAAGCATAATGAGACAGTGCCTTGATATTACTGCATGATCTGGAGTCGCTGAGCAACCAATTTCCTTTATGCCTTTAAACACCCACTAGTTATGAGATGACTACAGGGGGATGATTGCACCTATAGAACAGTTACCGCATCTATTTACAGTAGAAAATGGGGAAAAATATAATGCAATAATGACTGGAGTTCCCCAAGACGCAGTCTACTTTCTCTATGCTTGAACACGTGCCTTCAACACAGACCTGCAGGTCTGCAGCTCCTGTACTGCCTTTCCTCATGCCTTACAGCCAACATTCAAGGCACGTTACCAGAAGCCAGTTCTTTGTATTTGCAGAGCCCAAGTAGCTGAGGTGCTTTAGAAAGAGGCTACACGACAGGTTGCAGGCTTAGCACAGAGACAGGGCATCTCAGACTCTAACTTGTGCATTTCTTCAAAAGTTTGTCCATATCCAAGTCCTCTCTAACAGTGTCCCAGTGAGACAGAGAGAGTACCTTGACATTATCAGGATGAGAAAGATGCCCAGGCTGCAAAGCTGGCTAGTGCCATTGGCTGCAACACTTGTCAGCTTTCTGGGTGTGTTTCCCACCCCCTTCCCCCCTAACAGTTGCCCCATTTACCTGGTTCATGCTGTGGCCATCAATGCACGTGTTGATGTCGCACTGGGGTTTGCAATTCGATCTACGCCTTCAAGTCACTGGTGCTCCTGGGTTGGAGAATCCTGTGAAGTGCCTGGCTGCTTGTTTCTGTTTTAACAACTTTGTGCCAGGTTTTAGGATTAAGATCCAGTTCTGCAAAATCATATTTGAAGTCATAGTGGACTTGGTTCAAGACCAGGAAATTCCTTTTGGAGGAGCCTCTTACTCAAACCACTTCAATTGGTCAGATGCTGATTTTTTCCAGAGTTGAAAGTCCCAAAAGTCTAAGGTAGCACTCGAGGCATCCTCTAACCTGCTGGCACAAATTGCCTGCAGTTCCCTTGAGACATCAATTACAGACTGACATTCCTATCTCGGAAAGTATGGGAGATTTAGGATTTACAAACGTGTTTTTCCTGTCTATAACATTTTCTTAAGGTGTGTCTATCACTCTCTGTGACTGCCTTATTGGCAGGTGTTGTAGAGAGTTTGCTGTTTACTGGGAGGATTTCTCTATGTGAGCAGATCACTTAGGGTCAAAAGAAAATTCTCTACAGCCAACTTCTCTTTCAAATTAACAGGCAATACTTTGAAACTATAGTTAGCTCTGTGGTTAGAGCTCAGAGCTTGAGGCTATGAGCAGAAGCAGCTTTGCTTTGCAACACCTGAAAGGAAGCAGGGCACAGCAGGTACACTCTGCCCTCTGGTTCATCAGCAAGGCAGAGGTGAGACAGTGCATGTGTGCCCCGCAGGTAGTAATCAGCCAAAAATGCACTGAACTTGAAAGGGCTACTGACACTTGATGATGCGACCTTCCAAATTCTATACTTCCTTTAATTATCATCACTTCGTTTCCTCCTTAGCCCTAACTCTATTTAATGAGTTAATTATGAAAAAATTCCTATGATTTCACATCAGTTTTCCCCTGCCTATTTAACCAGGTAACCTCCACTCCTCTGGCAGTTCATCACTTTCTCATACTCCCTGGACTGAACATTTCAAGTGGTAAGAGATAATGAAAGGGCATGACCATCATGAACAAGGTAGAGTCACTCCCCCCTGCCACTTCATTGTAGTGACTACTGCCCAAAACACCCCTGGGAGCTTGACTGAGTTGTACAAATTCTACTCTGTCTTCTGCAGAAGACAGGCTGTTCTTCCCTAGGTGCCAGGAAAGTGGGGAAGGCATTCAAACAACCAAGGGAAGCAGAGGCTACAGAGTGGCAAAATAGCTGGAAAAATTCAAATGTTATCTTGCAATTCAAAGCATGACAGGTGCTACCCTGTATACTTTTGATAAAGCACTTTATTAATTGCATCTGACATCATTCACACTGAACTCTCTTCCTTGCATTCCCCTCTCCTTTCTAATGAGCTCCTTTCAAACCTGTCTGCCTCTCCCCCAGTTTCTAAACACTATAAGAAATGAACAGGTCTCACCTGTGACTTCTTGCCTAATTCCTTCAACAGACTGCTCTTCCATAGGTTGATACTCACAGGCTATCTATTACCCTTTACATATAATCTACTTCCATAAGATCACCAATAGGTGGCTGAAAAATAGGACACAAAGGCAGGCTGAAATCCTTATTTCTCAGTAAATTAGTATTTTTACTCATTTCAGTGTTTTCTTTTAAAAGAAAACAAAAATGTCTTTCAACAAAAAATTAACAACCCTGGCTGCTGAAAGGACGTCTAGAGCACGCAAAGATCTGGACTAACAGCTCCGAGCAAACTACAGAAGTACTCATGTAGTTGCACTGATTACGACTGACTGAAATGTGTCACCAAAGAGAATGATATCAGAAGAGAGAAGAGGGGTCAATTTTATGGAATCTGTCAAGTCTATTTCAAGTAACAGTTCATCCTTATACCCCAAAAATGCATTCCTTATCTCTGTCTACTCAGAATCAGTGACTATGGATACTAATCTAGCCTAGCATCACTTCTGAACACCAATAAAGGAGATTAAGCCTTGCAAAGAATACACAATCTTGTCAGTCCACGTCTGTCTCAGACATTGGAGATCCTTTGTTGACATACAAAATTCTTTTCAGGAAAATGTTAATGTTACAACTTACCTGGAAAGGAAGCTTTATTTTGGCTCTTCCAAATGCTGGATTTGAGCTTGTTGTACGCTGCCTCTGAAGACCCTCCGCTCATACCAGCTCAAAAGATGGTATCCCAGAAAAGTAATCCTACGTAACAGCAATTAATGTGATTGTATTTTCTTTTGGCTTTTTAAATTTCTGTTATGTAGGCCAATATATTCTAACTAAAAACATTTAACTTGCAGAAAAAATTTACATTGAGTCTCGTGGCTTAAAAAATCTCAAACCTATTAGAGGACAGTATTTTAGAGCCATGCTCTGTATTCTTTCAAAATTGAAAAGAATCCTGTTTTGGTTGAATTGGGACTGATAAGCTGGGCAAAGTGTCTGCCACTGCTCAGACTGCAAGTTTTCTGCAAGATTTATGGAAAATTTATGAGTTTTCAAATTTGTTATGTTTTTCTGTTATTTATGCTTATGTTTTGGGCACATTCCACTAGATTAACTATTGATAAAGCATAAACATCTGTCTTGGTATTAAAATGCTATGAAGAATATTAAGAAATTTCCAGCATACCCACAGGAAAAAAAGCTGCTTCGGTGTGGTCTGGTACAATCTCAATTGCCAAAGATTGGACATGACAGCATACATAAACATAAACATAAACACACACACACACACAGAAACAACACATGGGTGAGAATGATCTTCAAGCAGAGCTTGAGAAAAAAACCTGAAATGACCAATCATTAATTCAAAATACGGACAGCTGCCAATAGTAGCACAACTTCTAATGTGATACTTTCCCATGTATTTTACCATTTGTCAAGCTTTCCAGGTCTTCTCATTCAAACACATACCTAATACCATTAATTTGTTACAGCATTTTTTAATTCTTTTTAGAAGTGCAGCATATGTACGTCTTCTAATTTTTTTATACCATACATATCTCATTCTAAACTTAGAGGTTTCCATAGTTGTCATTAAAAAGCACGTAGACAAAATATTTTATGGTATCTATAATAAATGCAAAGAAATCAATACAAACAAAACTTGGCTTAGCAAACTGTACATACATAAATATGTCCTTTGTTTTTCAACTTGACATTCAACATTTTTCCTCATAAAACCTTTTATGATCTTATTTATTACATCCATTTTTTTTAAACCTTAAAAAAGTGCTTCTCAGATTTACACCTTGTGCATCCAAAGCAAAAGTTAGAACACCATGCCCGAAACAGAAACCACGGGGAATAATACATTGCCATACAAGATCCTTTAAAATTGTATGTTACAAATGCTCTAAAATTTCTTTAGCATTGGTTATTTTGTATACCGTAGATACTGAGAGGGTATTTAACAAAGACTGGCTAACGGCTCATTTAGAGCAGCACAGAGGAAAGGATCTACAGTATCAAGTCCTTGGCTATGCATAGTACAGGGCAATGACCTGGATTATAAAGTGGCTAAAAGATCCAGAATGCTGGACAGAAGGACATTTCCCTCATACACGTCACATCCTCCTTAGTACCCAGATGTGAGTATTGGAACGATGCTACTCAGGTAATACGTTGTGCAGTTTGATACTGAAATACTGATGCATTATGAGCCGAGTGCCAGCAGGGAATGATATGGACACAGCAGGTCAGTAAAGCTGCCACACTGAATCCTGTCACCCTCTAAAACCATCCTGCCTCCCAGCTAGCACTCCAGCAAGGTCACCCGCTGTCTCACGGGTCTCCTTCATAATGGAGGTGGACCGTTCACGTACTTCAACATGGGATGGAAAGAGCGGGCAAAGTTGTTGGCCATAGCACAGCTGTAGTCCTCCTTGGTCATTGGCACCAGGCAAGCCAGCCCGATTAGGAGTAGCAAGAGGAGCTGAAGTGGCAGAGCAGCTCTGAGGACTCTGAGGAAGAAAGAAGGACGCTGCCACGCTGGCCCGGCCTCAGAAGGGGAGGAACCTGAGCCACTTCTTGTGGACCTGAGAAAAGAGGATGGACAGGTGAATACACTAAAACATTACTGCAGCAGAGGCTGCCCTCGGGCACTCAGCCTTCCCTGACGGCTGGTTTACAATTTGACTGTGATTGACAACTGCAGAGGTATTTTTCTCTGAACATGCTATTTCCCTGACACCCTTTAAAAGACCTCATATTTCTAGACTGGGTAGGAAAACACCAAATGATCACAATAGAATGGGCTTTGTGACCTCAGAGCCCCTTCATCAATTCTGGGGAAGAGTTTCCACCTAAAGCACTGTGCTCTAGAGAAGAGGAAAATAAACAGTGGGCCATACCTGTCACATGTGTTCAATGCCTCCTTGTTTAAAATGGCAGTTGTATTCAGTTTGCAGAAGTTTCTATGTTCATTTCTGTATATAGCATCCGCAAGAGTATAATGCATTTTTTCAGTTACATCAATTAATTAATACACCAATATGCAGGCAATGGGGAATAATTTTCTAAAATTCCATTGTATTTTGAACCTTGCACTGAATCAGCAGCTAAAATCTGTTTGCTCAACTGATGACGCTATTACCTTCTGAGTGATTTTTTCCCTTGTGTCTATGGATCTAACTTGAAATGGCACATATTTATCACAGGTCTATGGGAGAGGCAAAACCTAATGCAAACATTTCCAAAGGGACACTTCAAATTAAGCACAAAAATCAAATCTATTTTTTCATGAAGGATAAAGACATAGATTTCACATTTTCCTTTTTGAATGAAACTGTCAGACCTCTCATATATTGACGACAGGTTTTGAGGTACATGGATGACTGAAAAGAGTGATTATGCAAGCTAAAATCTGAAGGTCTCATTGTGCTAATTAAGTGGCAGAGGAAAGTATTGTATTTTAGCACTAGTCAAAAATGAAAAACTTATAGCCTTCAAATAATTTGCTACAAGAATCTTCCATTAAGACATTAGGTCATGAATTTTGTCTTAGACATGTTGCTATAAAACATCTGTGTGGCTGAAGCCCCAGAAAATTTATGGTTTGCTAGGGTTTAAGAGATACAAACACTCATAAGGATGGATTTAGTCTTGACTTGAAGGTGTGGGAGATCAGGCTTTTTGGCTGAGGTCAAATGCTCCCCAGTAAAGCAAGGAGGGGGTGATGACTTAGTGTCTCCTTGTGTTCCCTTTTGATCCTGTGTCCCAGAGAAATCTGAGTCTGTGTGAGAAAGCATGCAAGAACCAAAACATCATCTTCAAGACTATGCCAGGCTTGGCAAGAGTCCCCTTCCCACATGTTCAGAAAAGAATTCTTTCTATGTTTGAGACTATTTTTATTGTCTTGTTCACATATATATGTATCATCCCATTATGAAGACTTCAAGAAAGTCCATAAAGATTTGGTAAAGTTTAGATGACCAACACATACATAAACACCCAGGTATGCTAAATTATTAACTTGACCTGAATCTCCCAGGAAGGAGGAATGATCAAAACCTCAGATCGCACGTTGTTTGAATCCACATTATTGTAGCCTGGATGGAAAGCTGCTTATCACATAATGTAAGAGCATGTACTATAAAGAACATATTGAAAGGATATGGCACATTTAACAGCATCAGAGCATTCCATATAAAATTTCAATTAGATCAGGACTTCTACTGTCTGAGAATGCCAAAACAGAAAGTTAATGGACTGAGGTAGGAACAAAGGGAACAAGCAGTCCTTAATTACCTTCCAAGTATTTGATTGCACAGTCTACCTATTTACAAGACTCTCATTGTACAAATGTTGTTAATCCCAATCAAAAAAGGCCACATTTCTGCAGTTGGTAACTGCTGTTTGATAATGAGCAAAGTCTGAATTGACTCAGAGTTATTCTGGGGCAACACTGGGTGGCAGAAGGGCAATTTCCGAAAAGTGGAATAAAAAGTGAACAGGCAAAGTTAGCATTTAATTTTTCTTTTCTTTTCCTATGCCTCCGGTAGTGCAATCCAGCACTTTTTCCTTTGTTTTACAAAAAAAGAAAAAGAGAGGTGTGTGTAAGCTGCATGGCCAATCTCAACAAGGAACACAAACTTTCTTTCAAAAAACAGTTCAAAAAACTGTTTCAAAACACTTTCTGCAGGGAAGCAGGGTGTTGAAGAATAGTTTCTAATACTCCGTGGAAACAATCAAATAATGAAATATGGAAACATCTTCAGAGGGGGAGTCCTAAAAGTTTGAATGCTGCATTGCCTGCTGTTATTACAGGTATGCCTCTGTAATCCACATAATTGGCTGAAAAATGGGATGGCTCAGCTTAGAGTGTTGGTAAGGAGAGATGGTTAAAAAAACCACATTGTTAAGAAAAAAGGCTCACTATTCATGATGGCCAGAACTCTTATTTACTCCAGCAGGAGATAGGAAAGCTGGAGTATTGTATGCCACTTTGAGAAAAACAGAATGTCTTTTTCTTCATCTGTCTCTCTTCTAACTGCTCCAGCATTTGTCACACTGGTCCCTGCTTGAGGAGGGAAGGAAGTAAGGCCATCTGCTACTCGCTCCATACAAAATTCCTACTAACTAGACAAAAGGGAGAGGCACAGCTGCAGACCTGGCCAACAGTAAGCTTCTTCATGTCAAGAAATCTTATAAATTAAACTAAGACGAGAAAGCAATGGCTACCCTTACTTTGGGAGTTTGTAATGTCAGTGAAATTGGAACTCTTTCCTAGGCATTTCAAGAGAGGAGAAGGTAATTTACCAGGATATAGATTGGACAGACAAAGTGAACTTTTAATTTCAGCTCAGACGAGTACCTTCTTTTAAAGATGACTGATTTTTTAATTTTTTCCCCAAGGAAATATGGTTCAAGCAATCTATCTGTATTGCAGTAAACATCTGAAAGATTGTAACAGAAGAATTTCTCATTCAAGTGAAGCTGATAGGAATAAATAAAGTGAGTTTAATGGGGAAGTGACTAATGGAATGCAGACAACAGGCTTACATTGGAAGAGGCACTGCTGGGTTAGTAGGATGTTATTACTGGAGCTAATCAAGTATGAGTCTTGATTTAATATCTTTTTGAAAAGACTATGGCACAAAATATAAGAACAGCAAATTTCATCTGTACGATGACAGAAGCTGGAAGTCTTTGCAAATATGAAATAGGATTTGGCTTCTTGCACAGAAAAAAACTTCCAATAGGTTTAAGAATTAGAATAAGAATTAAGATTATAGTGTGCAAGGTAGCAATAAAAACTTCTGCTATAAACATGAAGTCCACACTCTGAAGATAATGAAGAGAATCTACAACGTTTGACACAGGAGAGCCACAAACTAGTAATGTGGCTTGTGAATAGTTGTGAAAAGGGACAAAAGAAATTTTAAAATATATTTCAGTTCAAGATTTCCAGAACAGAAAAGGGTTTGTTTTAATGATGTTCTAGAAAGCATTAGTAAGATCTAACCTAGAGTAGTTTGTGTCAATTTGGTTAACATACTTCTGAAAGATGAATTCAAACTTACACAAGCTTAAGAGTCAAAAAATGGAGTATTTCTCTTATGAAGGAAACAAGGAGCTGACCTTACCAATATAAAACCTGAAAGATACTAAAAGTACTCTCTATAAAATAGTGCAGAACAGACAGAAATAAGGGTGAAGAGTTGCTAAAATAAAGAAAGGGATAATGTTTGCAGAAACCCAAATTATTACATTTAGTCATGGATATATTCAAGATGGAAATTACTGTATTTCCAGATAATCAGATGAATTAAGTTTGATAATGCCCTTCTAATAGACTTATTGTTCCCACTGATTCTAATTTTTTTAAGATGGAGGTTGCTAGAGTTATGAAGGAGAATATATGATGCTCTGCCCACAAGAGCAGGCAACAACTCCTCTTGGTGGCCTAGGACACTCTCTAGAATTGACATTGTTTGGCAAGTGTCAGTGTTCTGACTGGATTCTCTCCCTGGCTCTCAGCATCACATCTCCCCAGCCTCAGATTTGGCTCACCTTGTAAAGAAGATGAATATGTTCACTTCAAAGGCAGTTACATATGAAGTTTAGTTAACAAGCTTTAAGTGAGAGTGTGGGAGAAAACTGGGAGAAAAAATCATGGCAAGACAAGCCCAAAACTCATGTTTGAGCTACTGTGTGGCAATGACTGCCATTTTGTGGCCAAAGGCACGGAGACTGTTGCTCCAGGAACAGCAAGAGATCTTTAAAGACCCACTAGTCATTTGGGGAGGCCTGGGGAGAGCAGGAAATGGAATTTGGCACTGCGGCATCAAGACTTGAATAGAGCTGCTCAAGAGAGACCATATAAACACCCCTGAGCAAATTGAACCACTATTTTAGTCTTTCTAACATTTTAATCACTTCAAAAAATTCCACAGCCATAGACCCAGGTATGCATTTACGACAGCTCTATTAAACTGATGAAGAAAGAGGAGTTGCTTCTTGGATTTGTTTTTCCCACTTAGGTCACGTTTACTAACACCTCTCGAATGAGCCTTTAGTTAAATCCATGATATAGCATCTAGTTTAAGGTGGTACCTCGCTTAGCATCACACTATGCATGTTTATCTTTTTGCTGTGATACTGGGGAAGGCAAAATGATATCACACTTGTTATACACAAAACACGGCTCCTCTAATTTTTAAATGAACTTTCTTTCACAACCTCCTATGCGATAAACCTTTTAAAATTGACTGTAGTTCTCCTGCACACTAAACCCTAGCAGGGTTTGCTGATCCAGTGCAAGATCAAACACAAAGTACTCTGATCAGAGGCATGTCAAAATATTAAAGAACACAGTGACAGCTTGTACCGCTTTATCAGTTAAAACCACATTATACATCAACCACAACCTGTCTGGCTTGCGCATTTGATTAAGTTTCCTATTCAGCAGTGACTCATTCGTATTCCATGCTTGTCTGAATGACAAATTGAACATTGTGTTGTACTGCTACAAGATGTGTTAATAAACAGTGGTGGAAAGGCTTGATCTGAAAGGTGCCGCACCAATGCCACTGCTAGAACAGCGGTTGATCTCAAAGCTGCAAAGCATTGCTCGCTGCATTTTGAGCCAGCGGCTCGCACCTACAACCAGGAACCTTCTCAAAGGATTGGCAGAAGTGGTCTGGCTATACAGGAGAGCGCAAGAGTGCACACAATATGCTTTTTGAGTACAACGTGGCTACTGCAAGCATGGTAATCTGCTGAAGGCATCCTCCATTCCTCCTAGCTGTTAATGGCTGCAGAGTAAAGCCCCACTCTTTCCCTCTTCCCACTCCCTATAAGAAACAAAATGCCAAGCTTCGTGGCAGACTGGAGTTGGAAAAATTAATTCTCTTTCTCAGGCAGAAAGATGGAGTCACCTCCATAGGTGACATGTGTCACCTATTTTCTGTGTGGTTTCCTTATGTTTCAAAGAAAAAAAAAGAAGCCCTAAAAATGAGGCAGCTTCCAGCCAGTGGAAGCAGTGAAAGATACTCCACCTGTTCTACCTGCTCTGCTATGTGGTTTGGCAACTATGCCCCTTTACTCGCAGTCACTAACTACACATATAAAGCAAACTTTCTTTTTTAAGAAGTGTTTATGTAAGTATCTACGTGGTAAGTAGTTTTATTCTTTATTCCATTTACATTTGAGAATAATTTTGCTGAACAAAGCCTTGATTTTGCTCACGAAAAAAATAATACTCTTAAGGTATTTTTTTTTCTGCTTGGTTGTTGCTCAATTTCTGTACTAAATCCAGTGTTGCCTCCTTTCCAACATAAAATCTTTCATTTTAACAGGAGTCCTTTTTAAAATGAATTATTTAATTTTTGATGTATGTAGGGTAAATGAGACTTCTGACTAAACTGTAAGAACATTTTCATCATACTTTCTGATTACTTTAGGTGTTACAATGCACAGCATGCTGAAATAGCAAAAAATGTCCTCTTTATATGTATTGGCCTGCTGGTGGACTTTTTTAAACTTCGTAACTCTAGAAGCTAGTGAACTGACCAGTGAAAGAGTGAAGGTACACACATCACACTGACGACAACAAAGAATGCAGAAGCACTGTTAGCTGCAGAGATGACAGGCTGCCGGAGACAAGGTGGAAAGCAAGAAGCTGTAGCTGGGAGCCTGCGCTCTACCGGCCAGAGAAGAGATGGGGCAGTGCTGCTCCCGGAGCAATACATGGATGCGAGCGCTCGGCCAGAGCCATGGCAATGTTAGCACATTATATTGCAGTCGTCTGAGGAAGGGGGAAAAGTGCTCGCAAGTCTCAAAGCCCTCAAATTCTAAATTTTGAGTCTTAAGTACTGAAAACCCACAAACTGAACAAAACATTTCAGGGGAAAAAATAAATAAATTAAAAAAAAAAACAAAGAAAGAAAGAAAGAAAGAAAAGGATGTTAGTATGTCTCATCCAGATCTGTGGGTTTTGTGAATTCTAGAATATGATATTGGCCTATTACCTGCCTTAATTTAATATCTAGAGGTAAAGAGGATGATAAAAAGTGTTTGCCATGAATGTACTGGAATTTCTGTTAAATCATGCCAAAATAAAATAATCATTAAATATCATGAGCGTAAACACACACTCATCCTGATCGGCCATATGACAAATAAATATCGATTCCATGGCATTCCCGGGGAAGCAAACGCTGTTGATGTCAAAGGATTAGCCAGTATTGCTAATTTAAAAGAATCTGAAGTAATTGAGAGCCCCTTTTGCAAAATCTTCACTTTTTTAAGTCCAGGCCACCTGATGGAGTTGGTGGGGACAGAGAAGAATCATGGCCAATTTCCATCATCCTCTTGGGGTTCTAGAACAGAGTGCGGAAACCAGGAGAATAAGGTACCTGCTATGTGGACTGCTGACAGAGGGTCCAGGCTGTGAGAGACTACATTTGCCCCGTGGCTGTTTGCAATGAACAGGGGGTAAAGAAAGAAGAATGTTCAGTCCAGGCAAATAAAGACAAGCTACTGATGAAACTAAATTAAAAGTGCAGCAAAGGAAACATAAAAAAAAAAAATAATCAAATGAAGTGACCAATACCCATGAACCAAGGAAACTGGCTTTTCTTTGTACCGAGCTGAGTATGGAAATGATTGGAAAATACACAGTGAACTTGAAAATAACAGTTTAGTCATTAAATTTACCAACAGTAGCTCTGGATTTAAAAAAAAAATAATCACTAGAAATTTAGTTCAAATAATTTGTAATAGGAAATAGAAGAAATTTGGGTTCAATATTGGCAAATATAGATATTTTGAAATGCAAATGCAGCAAAATTAATATTCTCAAGGAAAAAAAGGCCAAGGGCCTCCTTTGAAGAGTCTGGCCTCTTCTACACCCCCAACCCCCCCACAATTTTGAAGGCCAAATAACTGTAGGTGCATTCCTGCACTCACAACTATTTGCTGGAATATTTAATGCAGTTAGAGGATTATAATTCTGATTGTATTTTTGGTATTAGTATTTATTTATTTATTTAGCATCAGCATATTTGGCACTGAAAAGTCCAAGGGCCTCTTTTGAAGAGTCTGGCCTCTTCTACACCACCAACCCCCCCCACAATTTTGAAGGCCAAATAACTGTAGGTGCATTCCTGCACTCACAACTATTTGCTGGAATATTTAATGCAGTTAGAGGATTATAATTCTGATTGTATTTTTGGTATTAGTATTTATTTATTTATTTAGCATCAGCATATTTGGCACTGAAATTACAAACAATATTTCTTGAGACTCCAAAATTGTGGGTGCAAACCCCAGAAGTTTGAAAACCAGACCCCAAGGAATCATACAACTTATCTATATATTATGGATAAAAATGATAATAAGTAGTCACATAATAAATTAGAGATAGACAAATGCTTATTAAAATGTTAAGATGAAACCCATTATAATTCTACACGCTCTTTAGACAAAGATTTTATGGTAAAATACTTCTCCATTTCCTGTAATGGTCAGGCATCCTCCAGTTACATCTGTGACACCAGAGCTTTTATTAGTAATTTAAGTTTAAATTTAAAAGATAAAAGTGTTGACCTCTAAAATAAAATATTAAGGGTTATATTCTTTCTCCTTTTGAAAAGCCAGTGTTCCTTTACATTCTCATACTAGCATCTAAAAGAAAACTAGTGAATGTAAAAAAAAAAAAAACCAACCAAAAAATCGATTTCAAGAGCCATAAAATTTATGAAGACAGAACTCAGAGTCTTTAAAAAAGTGCAAATGGAAAAAAACACCAAAACCAACCTGATTGTTTTAAGAACTAAGGAAAAAAAGCAAAGTAATCAACCAATAGAATTGCAGAAAAAGACAAAATAATTGCAGTTCCATTTTGGGCTCAGAGTATGGAAGTGTTAAGTACTAGGCATGTATTGCTACATTTCTTGAATTTTGTGCCAGCGATGTAAATCGACAACTCCAGAGTTGCCATCACAGCCATTGATTAGGTCCTGTGCACTAGCTGTTTTGAATAATGTTTTATGCCCTTCAGCTCTACTTAGCCATTCATCCAAAGTCTCAATAAGACCATCTCCAACCCTCATTAGAAATGACGGAAAAACCTTATTGAGATTCTGGTTGAAGCAGCTCTGAAGAGAAGGCCAAACAGAAATGGAGGACTCATTATACCAGACAAGACCAGACTTTGGGGCGCTGCCATCACTAGAGCAAAATACAAGAGACACGACATGCCATACCATGGTAAACCAACCACACTGACAGCCCTGGGTTTAGATAGTATTTACCACTTCTGACTTCATGCAGGATGGGATATGCAGCAGGGTTGGGGAAAGCAGCTGTGTTTTGTTCTTGGTTTATGCCATTTCCTTTCCTATCAAGTGAGAAGAGGGGTCTTCCAGCTGGCTAGAGCTACTGTAGACATCTACAGCTCCCACCGAGGAGGTGGCAGAAAATACATGACATGAAATTACCGTTCTCTGTCTGCTTGGAGTGCTTCTTCCAGATACAGGACTCACTGAGCCCGATGTGTCTAATTCATCAGCAGAGGACCATGAGGACAATTCCTAAAGTTCAGAAGGAATGGAGCTCAGAAAGACAGCAACTAGCTGTTCAGGTAAGCAAACTAAAAAAAAAGCCCTGAGTGAAATCCCAGCAGAGTTATTTCCAAAGCAAATAAAATAAAGCAGTTAAATTTTGTTACCAAATTTTATAAGACTAAGGTATTACATGTTTTCTCTGTTAGCCCTGAAGAAGAAAAGCAAACAGGTAGTTAAAACTTAATTGCTTCAGGTGACGCATTTTCCACAAAAGTCAATATACAGGAAAAGCCATTTGTTTTTTACTGGCCTTTAATTACAAAAGAGGTTGGTAGCACCAAGATTTTACTTAAGCAGGCAGAAATTCACTGGAAGGAGAGAAGAGCTGAGTTCTCACACCTTATGCACTCTGCTAATCCAAGACTTCAAAAAAAGTTAACTAAAGGAGAACCCTGAAATCTTTATTTTACACCTGCCACTGTTGACGAAAACGTACGCGTAACTCCCTCTCAAATACTCTGAAATACATGATAATTTGAAAAGATTTTGAGTATAGCTCAAAGTTCAGAGGGCACTATGAGAGATTTGTTAGCCTGTCATTTATTTTATGTCTTATCTCCTCCCTCTTTGACAGAGTGAGCATTATCTCCTTTTCCAGTGACAACCGACACACTGTAATTTTCAGTACTGCAACTAGAATAATTATCTCATGTACTTTGCCAGTTGACTGAATCAGTAATGGCAGGATAAACAAACCAAGATGTTCACTACTTATTACTACACCAAATAGAAAAAAAAATACTGGATTAAAAAAACCTCACCATATCAAAAAATAGGTGTTTACATTATGAAGTGTAAGATTACTTTATGATATTCAAGATTACATGTCTACCATCTCGGTAAGTATTGCAAACAACAGAAACAGTGCACCCAACAGCACTGATCACGGAAAGACAGTCAAATCAGTGGAAACACATGCCCAACTAACAGCAAGGAATAAAAAGACGTGACTTACCAGCTGACTACTTGAAATGTCTAGGATTTTCTCTAGGTCTTTAATATGGCGCGTGACCTCTTTCAAGAGGACCTTCAGTCTGTTACCAATGACATGCACTTTCTCTTTGGCTTCAAGACAGTCCTTGCCTTCAGCATTGACTAGCAACTGGCGGGACATATCTTGCAGTGATGCCACCTTCAACTGAGACTCCAGCAGTTCACGTCTGATTTGCTGTTGCCAAGGTAAACACCAGATTATTTTAAGGGAAATAAAATTTAAAAATAAAGGCAAAAAGCTAGAACTCACAAAACTGAGCATTTAAAAATATTGAAATGGAAAGAAAAGAGAAGCAATAAATATTTCTAATCTGACAGGAAGAGAGACAGCAGCGTAGCAGTTGCTTGAGATTTTAAATCACAAGTTATGCTACTAATGGAACTGAGTAGTGTTCCCTAATGAAGTAAATTTAGTTACTGACATCAGTCCCACAATTGTGTGTTAGCATGCAACATACAATGCTAAACCTCAGAAAGATAAATCTGATTAGATGTTTTTCTGATCATGCATTTTGGGAGAGAAAGTGGTGATTATAACCCTACCATTAAAAGTCTGCGATGATCCTGCAGCGTTTCTGAGTCCAGGTTTGGATCGATGGGCACAATCTCATTTTTTCTTCTGTCAATGTTCTCTAACCAAAGCAGCAAACCATGGCTCATTTCATGGAAATCCTGCAAGTGATGAGTGATGATTTTATTAGTGTAGCAGAAAATTCCAGTCAAATTCAGGTTTGTTTTAGTTTATCCTGACAGGTCCTACTGGCTAAATAAAATAACTTACAAAGAAGAAGAGTAGGATAGTATATTAAGAGTACTATTTAGAAAATCTTGGGCTGGAAATACGTGCTACGGGTAGTGCAGGTGTATCTTTCAGAAAACACATGCTGAAGCTGTATTTTGGCTTGCATGGGCAAGTTTCAGACTGGATAACGAGCACACCAGATAATGATACAGTTTACATTTTTGATATGTGGGATGCTGACAATTTAAAACGAGCGCAACACAGACCTGGCACTGCATTAATGCATCCTGCAACGAGCAGCGCCACTCGTCGATCATACTGCATACGTGGTCCCAGCGCACGTTCATCTGAGACAGACGCTCTTGAAGCTTCTTGCTCTCTTCACTGTCAGACTGAGTGAACTCTGAGCTGCACAGATTGATGGATAAGATGATCGCTTTGCGGTTATCAATTGCTTTCTGCAGATCCTTGATGAGAAGACAAAGTGGGACGGGGGAAGAAAAGATGGAAATCGGTAAAACGCGTGTCTTTCAGAAGAACCAAGCAGAGAAGGCACCACAAGAATGCAATGATTTGCCATCAGCAGCTGCACCGTGACACTCTCTTTACTCCGGATATGAGATTTCTGTGCTCACTCTGTGACTCTGCAAATGTTCACTCTTTAACATCTACTAAAATTTTACTGTGAGCACAACTAAAACAAGCCAATTAAACTTGTAAAGCCTTAAAAGCTTGAAGTCATAGTTGAGTTTGAAGGATCTGGCTCATGTTGCAGATATTTTAAAGACAGAGCAGACCCAACAAAATTTAAAGAGATGCAGGACAATTGCACTTTAGCTCACAATAAAACTTTTGCCCTCACTTCTCAGTTTTGCTGACAAATGTAAAAAACAATATGTTTTCAAGTGGAAACGGCTGTCAACAGCATTTTAAAATAAAAGCTTTTACTGAGGGAAAAGAAAACATACAAAAAGTATAAACAACTTACTCCAATTTATAGAAGCAGGACGTGTATAAAATCTCTGATTTGTTTACACTGGAAGCCACAAAAGAAACCCCACCTCTTTGGGTTTGGAGGGCACTAATGGGCTTTCCAAGAGTGGGTGAGATAAGAACAGGATTCTTATGAAATGCCCCCTTTTCCACTTTACCGCATTTGCTTAAAAGCCCCATGTCACAGTGACCTTTGTAGTACTTATGGCAGCTATATTTGGATTCCAGTGAAGATCAGTATTAATATGCTTTGGATGGATCACTGCTGGAAACAGTCTTTACTATCTGTCCACCTCATTCCTAGCATGGAGCACCGTGCATTTTGACATTGGCTCCCACATTTTTGTGCCCAAGCTTATGAGATGCTAGTAACTGAATGTGAAGTTGCTGTAAAATACCCAGGAGACATCACAAAGGCAACATTTGGATCCTGGTGCATCTGAGGTGACAGAAGAAGAAACAGAAATTTGCAGAATGACACCAAATTTTTCCTATGTTTTACGCTTGACAGCAGTGAGTAGGCTACAACCCCTTTGTACAGCACTCTCTCCTTCTTCCACCCAGTAATATGTCCCAGTAAGGCATTTATTTTCTTTTAAAGTAGCTATTTTGTTGCCAGTTTGACTAGAAAAGATTTCACTTAACTAGGCTTTTTTTTTTTTTTTCTTTCATCATCTTGGCTGACATCAGGAATTATCTGTACAATCTGGAATTACACAATTGCCACAGAGTTACTATTTCAAAAAAATTCATTTGGATTGTATAAGTAAATGCCAGTGGTACATTTTTCTGCCAAAAGGCGATTCATAAAATCACTTTCCCAGTTGCTTCAGTTATCAGCAGTAGCCTGCTATGTGGGGAAGGGCACAAACCAGCTGCAACTATTGGCGACCTCTTCAACATACCTGTGGCACTCAGGTCTGTTTCCAAGGTAACTCATGGAAAAGAGAAATAAAACTCACTTTCAATTTTTTAATTCTGAGTTCAATAGTTTGTATGTCGGTGCTGAGATCAAGGCGACGGATCTTCTCCAGTTCCTCTTCAGTTTCTCCCAGCCAAGCCCAAATACTATTAAGGTCGGAGTTAAACTGCTGCCATTGCTGAAGGTTCTGCTTCATCCTCAGCTCCTTGCTTAGAGCTTGAGCCTGGATTAATTCCCATCGGTCAATTACACCTGGAACGATGAACACCAAATTCAGCAAAAGCAAAAAGCAGTAGGTACACACACAATTGCACCAGTCGAATCCTGCGTAGCACACACACAAAAAATTCCATAAAAATAAAAAAACCCTAATCCACAAAACACCACACTGAAAACTAAGTTAGTCTGAAAAATGTGATGTTAGAGAGAAAGAATGAAGAACCTGAGTGATTGCAGGCAGCAGACAATTTTACCACTTTCTAATGTCAGAATTCTATTAACAGAATTAAGGTGACAAATGCAGGTCTCTAAAACAGATGTATATATATACACTATGCTGGCATAAAGACATAATATATTAGCATAAATGCAAACCAGACAAGGAATCTGAATATGTCTAACAAGCCACATATTTATTATTATTTTCATTGGTATTTGTGCCAATCACAAATTAATACACCTCACACCATTTGCCTAAACTAGTGCTGATGCACTGGATAAATACCTGTGCTAAAAAGAAAGAAATTAGGGGCTATTTCTTCTTGTTAGTTATCTCAAAACGCTATGGCAGAAGGACAAGTTATATCATTCCATCAACTTAAAATTAAAAATAAAATAAAATAAAATAAAATAGTCTGCTTGGGTAGCATATCTGGCCAATCTAAGAATACAGATGTTGCCTTTATAACCTCTGGAACAAATTCATGTTTTCTCAATGCAATACCTCCTGTTCTACAGCTGATCCTTAACATTAGTCAGGTGAATACTTCTACCAGGTGAATATAGATTTCTGTACTGTAGACAGGTAATGTTAGAAACAAAAGCTCCTATTAGAAGAAATGAATACTGGTTAACGTGTTTTGTACAGACTTGTATAAGCAACCTTTTTTCATCAGAAAATGTTCAACAAAAATGCATTGCATACACAAAGACTTTTTGAAAGGCTTAAGGATATGTCTCACAATACAAAGGGGTTCTTAAAATGCACTTGTATGCTTAATCTCTTTATAGGGCACATATAAGGAATACTTAGTATTTCTTACTATTCCTATTAAGAGTTGTTAAACAAAATATGGTAGCAGCCACAGTCATGTGAATCTGTATGTCAGTAAATAATACCAATATTTAGAAAAACTTACTTGCTACTTTTTGTAATTACTTCCCATCAAAGAACTAAAGGTTACTTACCAGCTGTTTGTGTTTCAGTACTGTTGAGGTTAATAAGTCCAGACAATTTTTCTTCTTCTTCTTTCAGTTTATATCCAAGCCTTTTTACTGAGTCTATGCTTCCACTGCACTCGCCTAGTAGCTTCATCTGTGTTAACAAACAAACAAAATCTCATCTCAATGTGCACTGTACAGGACTAATTGCATGGAAAATGCAAATTACAACGCAACTTCCAAAATTTTCCAAAAGTAGGTCTAAGTGTGAAGATAAAAAATCTATTACTTTGACAATCTGTTCTGATACTATCAGAGAAATGTATACAGAGACAAAGAAGGCTAAAGGATAAGTTTAGACTAAATAGAAATAACTCGGTGCTACTGTGCCAAATTGTGCTGGATGACTCTAGGTGACATCTGTTCTAAATGTTAAGACACTATGGCAAAGACACTAGATGATGTGACAAAGAAAAGAAACGGAAGTGTGGAAATATTACTATGCATCCAAGCAGCTATCTTTCAATTCTTCCAGTAATAAAATTATTTGAATGATTTAGAGAGAGATTTTTCTTCCAGAAAACCTCTCAGAGAAAGCTTTTTAATCACAGATTCCATATATGCCACCTTGTTTACATGATGCGTGTTTATAATTCATCAGCAAGATGAATATTCTGCATGAAGCTATAAAATCAGCTTTTAAAAGCAGAGGAATTTTAAACAAGGATACCATCATTAGATGGATAAAAACGCATCTGAGAAAGTACTTTTGCACATCTACAAAAATGTAATAGGAAAATAAACTCCTTAGAGTCATGTAACCTTATGCTATTGTAAACAGACTAACAGCGTAAACAACAATAGCATATGGTTAAGGATAACAATCATTTGAGTGAGTCTGAAAAGCAAAATACACGCACATATCCTTTGTAACTGGAATCCAGCTCTGGTCCTGTAGGTGTTTTGCTGCGGATGATGTTTTCTGTTTGCTGTATTTGGAAACGACTGGTGTCCAAGGCCTTGTCCAGCTGCCGGATGTGTGCTTCCAGGGAACCAGGTTCTCCTGTACCAAAATCAAAAAAAGTGACCATCATCCAGGTTCTTCCTAAGTATTTTTTTAATCTGTTGCCCAGGCAGAATAAATATCAGGAGTACTATCTAGATTAAACAGTAAAGGAGAAATGTGACTGCAGCAGGATGAGTGGGACAATGTTAAAGCGAACAGATAACTAGTTACGTTAGAGGGTGTTAGTGACCTTCAGAGGACAGGTGACTATACCAATGAACATGCTTGCCATAATCACACTACCAAAGAGTCCACAGTTTAAAGCAGGCTGGCAAACTATTCTGGAGTGACTTTTTCCCTTGGAGAATTCCCCACAGTTGTGAAGGGGAAAGCTCTTAGCAAAGTGTGCTCTAACCTCACTGATTTTGGACAACACCTTGTTCCTTTTCATGTACACGCTCAAATAAAACGTTCTATCCTAAACTCCTGATCGAAATCCACATTAAAACTTGAATTTTCCTCATCTTCTCTTTTTCTCACTTCTCTTCACTAAAAATTAGTGGAATTTTGATCTACATGATAGGGTCCTATTTATATACAATTTTGAAAATTAAAAGCAGTATCCAAATGCTAAGCAATACTCTTATAATTATATTCTTAAGGTCCACACACTGGACATCTTGAAGGCCCACAGCAACTAGTCCATGACTGACTTAGGCAACTGCACTAAGCAGCAAAATTTATAGTATTTTTCTAATTAGGTGTTTGATAAAAATTTTGCTTAACGTATCTGCAAGATGGTACTATTCATCCAAGCTGTTTGGAATTCATATCAATGTTTTGAAGCAGAACTAACTTGACTTTTCCTTATAGAGGTCAGTTGAGTTCTGTGCTATGAATTTGCTACAGCCAATTCTACCCTGAGGCAGGCTGCAGTCTAGAAGACCACATGAGATCCCTCTTATCCATATTCTATCACTGTGCCTGATTTCCATCTGTTTACAAAGACAGTTTGAATTTATTCATAAAGACACAAATAAAAACAAGCATAGAGAAGGGGGACCTTCTGTCCACCTAATTACAGAAAATAGAGCCTCTTGGATGCTAATCTTTTTTTCATACAATACACTGCCTCACCCCAAATGGACCAAACAAAGCGCTCAATATACTTTTCTCCCACTACTTTCAAAATTTTCACAGGTCAGAAAACTACACATAGTTTTCTATATGTATTACCATTATTTATACTCATTTTTTCACTAATTTGGAGAAAAAATAAAAACAGACAGTGAACCTGAGGTCTGTGCCATAGATGCTGAGATTTTAAATGTTTGCTATTTCAAATTTGCAGTAATTGTTTCAAAACAGGAAAACTGTGAAATCATGAGAAAAGGTATTTGTAAATGCATCTAATCCCTCCAAGAGAGTCATCTAACAAACGAAACAGTAGTTTTAATGGTGTGCAAAAAAGCAAAAAAAAAATTAGTTCATCTTTCAATATAAAAGACTGAGACAAATTCATTGGACTACTGTACCTCTCCTTGGCATTGTTATCACATGAAACAACAGCTAACCTAAAGGTTTATGTCTAAGTAATAATCCAAGCTGTGGCTGTGGTAAAAAAGGAAGTGCAAAGCTGAACAATTTAGTTTTGCTCAATGTCTTTTCCTTCTGTCTTAATCTTTGTAGAAACCAGTCTTTTCTCAGAGACAAAACAAAGTACTAAGTCCTGTTGAGGAACTCCAGAGAATAAAGACCAATCAGAGTAGCTGACTGATCAGTTCAGTCTGGTTAGCTGATGTGGGAGGGCCAATACTTCAAGCATCATTGTCTCATCCATGCACCTAATAATACCTTCAAGCACAGTAGTAAAGCAGAACAATTCTACGTTAACACGCCAATGCTGCCATGTAAGAAATATTTATCTTGTAAGTGGTGAAAAGTATAGCAGATGCTAAGAGAAGGAAGTTATGCTTGCGCACTGTGGTATTTGCATCTGACTATGCTTAGTCTTTTTTAATGCCTACCAGAGATATTTTTGAGCACGTTTTCTGTGAGTGTTACATAGGCCTCAAGAGTTTCAGGGATCTCTACATCTGAAAAAATAAAAGCACAGTCTAAATTGACAGCTCAGCAATGGCTGTCTCCTTCCAACAGGATTTCTTTTCATGGGATGGAATATATAAACAGTTCCAATAGCAAACATATTTTCTGAAGAAGGAAAAAAGTTGAAGACTGAAACACAGGGAGCCTGCTACAAAGTCTCTTAATATCCAGGCAAACCTGACTCTTTTTGGAGCAATGACCTGGAAAGCAAAAGACAGCCACAAGATCAGAGTATAATATACCACTATGATTTCCCCCACAACTGGCTGCATTTGGACAATTTCACTCATTAAGATTTATTGCACAAGGCACACACATTTCAAAAGGATTTTCAGCTTCATTGGACAGCAAGACCCAAGATCCCACTGCATGCTAAACACTCCTTTGCTGGAGTCTTGCCTGGGTAAGGGCTGAGTTCAGATTTACTTAAGCACTGGATGATTCTGTCTGCGGATCTCTCCCACAGCATTTCTTCACTGGTTTGTTCTGCACTTCTTGCCATATCCAGTATAGTCTCTTTTAGTCAGAATAACTTAGGACGCATTGCTGTTACAGATGACATATCCCATCTGGCAGGCCACAAACACAGAGATACAGCCAATTCCCTGTCATATCATACATGCCTTTGCGATTTTTCCAAGGCTGTAGTCATCCAGGAATCTCCATTGCTGTGTCTAAGGCCAGAAGGCCACTAGGATCACTTAGGGAAAGCTATTTAAAATCTTCAGGGGCTATTTAAAATACTTTTCCATGAACGTCTTGGCCAAGAAATCACACATGTAACATTTGCTTCTTCTCACTAGAAGAGACCAGGACACACGATTCTCCACCGTACCTGCTATACCAGCGGCTCCTCTCAGGTAGAAGTCCTTCTCTTGTCCTCCGTCCTCTTCCTCAGAGTGCAGTGCCCGTGAAACAGCTGTCTCCAGGTCTCTGCTAAGGTCGTAGTCATGATCCCACTCCAGGGGAATGGAGTCCACGCTTGCAGGTGTGTCTCGCCCCGATCGCTCGCTTCTCACCGGCTGGGAAAGAGGCAGCGAAAGGTTGGAAGAGGGGTGCGGGGAGAGAACGCTGTCCGCAGATTTGTCATGCCAGTGTATGTCAGAGAGATCTGCTGATTCATCCAGATCCACCTCTCTGTCAGAGAGGTCATGCTCGTCATCTGTCAGCTAGAAGCATAACGCAAACAGAACCCATCAATGAAATGTGCAGAGGCACTGTATGGTCAGTCTGGGTCAGTGAAATAAAGTAGCATTAGGCAACAGTCACACTGCTGGGGTTTCCATTTTGTATTCTTTTGCACTTTCCCTTCATTATTTTAAGATGCACTAAAAAACTAAAATAAGAAAAAAGTTCATAATGCCAGTTCCTTTTTATTACTTAAGGCACCACAAAGTCTCATATCAAGAAAATGCCTCTGGACTTTTTACTGATGCCACTGCAGTGCACACATCAAGTTAAACTCTGGAATCAAGTCATAGGAAGCACAAGTGACCTTTATTTTGACCACTGCTCTCATTATATTCTTTCATATTTTGAGAACTCTGGGGTTTTTTGAAGGCTCCATTCTTTTGGTAGGACTTGAGCTACCAAAAATCATTTTGCTCTCAGTTACTCAGCTGTGTGTTCAGTTCTGGAGACAAATTCCTGTCTCTTCTGATGGTGATAATCATTTTATCACTGTTTTTTAAACAAAATGGAACTCAATAAGCTGCCAGTGAAACTATCTGACAGAGCAGGGAGATGTTCCTATTACGAGTTTCACATTGATAAAAAAAGTTTTATAGATCTCCAATTTGCATGGATTTTCATGAGTACTTACAAAAACTCCAGATATGGTGAGTTTGCTCTCTGGACAGGACATTATAATGAAAGGGGGCATATGGTCAAGTTCATAACAAACTACAGGATTTTTTGAAAGTTACAGAAGTTTCCTTTCATTTCAACTTCTTTCCTCATTCTCACACTTGTAAAATATCAACAAACCAAACAAATATGTATCTAGTAAGTATACACACAGGAAGGCGGATGAGTTTCTTGTGATAGCGTTCCACACGTCCAAAGACCTCTTGACAGTAACGACGCAGCTCATCTAGTTCTTCTTCAATGACAGCTGCATCCATGGGCTCACTTTTCTCAATGAGTTGCTCACCCTGCACAATTATCTGCTCAATTTTGTTATTGTTCAGTGAGATTTCTTGCTGGAAAGCCTGCATAAAAAAACCCGACCCATGCTTTATCAACGAAATCAACATTACAACAACCCAAGTTATTAAGGATGCAAGTCAGAGTTTTTCAGCAAGAATGGTGTGGATAACTAACAGGGACCGTTCCAAATATTCTGGCATAAGCAACAATGAGCAATTAAATTTAGCATTCCGCAGTCTTTCTAGCCAAAAGCAGCGATACTTCATGGTTTACCATCTCATTCCTCAGTTGTTGTGTTTGGAAAGAAAGCTCTTCTCTAAACAAGCCATGCCCATGACCAAATGGCTAGGATAAACACAGATGCTAAAGCTAGCATACTGGAATTTTGGGTAACATGACATTTGATATTTTTCTCTAAAAATAATGATTTTTCTGATGCAGAAATAGTGTCAACAATAATGGAGACTTGACATTTTTATCAATACTTCCTCTTTTGATTAGGGAATGGAGACTATCTATCACCCTTGGTTTTTTGAATATTTTTCACAGCACAAAGATCTTCCACTCTAGCAGAAAAGTGTATGTTGAAACCTGACATAGCCCATAACTTCCGAAGTTTAAGTATCAGCCTGCAAGTAAGGGACTGTACCTTGCTGTATTTTTGAATAATGTTTCTTAAATTCTTTTCCCCACCATGAATGTTTTTATCCCTTCTCTCATCCCTCTTCCTGTTCCCCTTCAATCATTCCTTACCTTAAGTTGCTTTATCTTTGCTTGGACATCACACTCTGAGAAATGCTCAATGTTGGTCAGCTGCAGGTCCATCTCTGTTAGCCATACCAGGATGCTATCACGTGCTGTCTCAAACTCCTCACGCTGGCCAATAAAATGCTGAGGGATGCAAAACGGAGTGGCATGAAACCCCAAAAAACCTGGTAATAGTGTTTTTCCAAAGAAACAGCTTTCATGCCCTTCAGACCTAACCTAAACTCAGTACACCTTCTTCTTTCATTTCCTATATGCTTTCCAAGGTTCCTTTTCAGTAACTTCATCTACAGCTGCAATTACCTGACCTATGAAAGTTATCTTCTATGAAGGAGGTGGTGGTTGAGGTCACCAAGCATTTCCCTACGGACTTCATCCTTTGGTTTCCTCAGACAAAGTAAGCTGATAAGCTCCCTTCCTCTTCCAAAGGTAGAAGTCCCCCCAAAACCACTGTGCAAAGTGGAAGCTTCTGGGGTACCCCAGATTCATAAGTATAGTAATGAAACTGAAGGGCTTAAAAACGGAAAAATACTTTTAGCCTGCGCAGGATGGAGGTAACTCGCTTTTGTAAGTTGTCCCATCTCTGGTTCCCCTCATGAACCATCTGCTTGAGGCTGCAGTCAGAGTCAGTGCGGTTCTCTCGGGCCAGGCGGCGATACTGCTTATTGATCAGTTCCAGCTGAGTCAGACTTTCATGCACTTGTCTCTGGAAGGCCTAAAGCAATAGGAACAAAAGACACCATCAGACTTCAAATTACTGAAATGAGGAGACATATTTAAGTCTCTCCCTTTATTTTGACCCTACTTCTGCACTCTGCCCTGTGTTAGCTGATAGATTTTGCTACGGATGCAGACATCTCCTGAGGTCTATCCTGTTGAGAGGCTGCCTTCTGATTAAAATGAGAAAAAAAAAAAGGAAAACGTTTACAAAAATGGCATTCTTCACTGAATGAGAAATTGCAACATGAATACCTATTACAATGGCAAAATCAGCACAAAAAAGACTCCCCTTTCTACTTAACCATGCGTCTTTGTATTTGAGAACAGAAACATAAACAATGAACATGAAATTTTTTTTTAAGATGAAGAGAAACCCAAGATTCCTGTGGTTTCACTGGATTTCCTTGCACATTCTGAATTTGCTGAAGTGCAAACACTGAAGAGATTTGAGTAATCGTTTATTCTGAGTTTTACTAAAAATAGTGAAAAAAATAGTGAAAAATGGTAGTGACGGAATCACCTCTATCTTCAGTACGCTGGTATACAAGTAAGTTTTGTCTTAATATTTTCATGGAAAGAAGATGTCACAAACATCCATAGCAACTTATGCCTGGGCAAGTGTTTGTACCATCCATAACAACTTATGCCTGGGCAAGTGTTTGTACCATGTACTTTCAGAGCTTCCTCTACTGTCACAAAAGCCTCAGTCACCCAGCTGAGGAGCAGAAACAGTAGGTGGCTTGGCCCATGAGTTCCATGTTGTGACTAGCAATCACAAAGCAAGTTGGAGAAGGTACCTTGCAAGGAGCTGAACAAATTAATCCCTTTAATTTTTTTTTTTTCAAAAAGAGGTGAATAATTTAAAAAAAAAAATAATTGTTTTTATGTCGTCACAGAAACAGAAAAGCAATCAATCAAAGGAAGACTTAACAACAAAGACTACACCAGACCTCTTGTGAATACAAATAGGTTTTGGCTTCCATTGTAGATCTGCAAACTTGCTCTCTGATATTCCTCACAATGCAAACTGACTCTTTGTCAATCTCTTTCAAAACTAGACACCCTCCTTACTAAGGACTTGAGAACTGTGAAAGGTAATATAATTCTGTACAGAAGTTTTCATTAAAATCAGGTAACACATGAGATTTCATAAATAGTATATACTCTTCATGTACCAGTCAAAGCTAAAAGTGAAATAAGCCCATTTCTGCCATAATACTAGGGACAAAAGTAAAAAAGACGGTTTGAAAAAAAAGAAAAAAAAATCAAAGTCTGTAGATTTATCTCAATATAACTATTCCCTTAAATAAATGGCCATCAAATTGAGGAGAGGACAACCGAGAAGGAACAAATGGGATTGCAACTGGACTGTAATGCTCAGTAGAACTGAATTCACTTGAAATTGCTCAAGGAAGCAGTTCTCATATTAGAGGCACAAATCTGGCTATGTTTACTAGGATCATGAAATCTAAAAGCGTGCAGTTGTTGTTTCACCTGTCACCAAGCCTTGTCCAGCAAAAAACAGCTGTGTATTTGTCTTTCATTTTTTCAGCTCAGCTACACAAGAATTCATCTGTTGCGTTCCTTCCTGTAACCTCTTTTCATTTCTCCATAAACTACTGGAGAGGAAGGAATTTGATTTTGTACAGTGAAATCAGTGAGAGCCATCTGACCTCTCTGCTCAGGAACTAAAAGATTGCTACATGGTCTGGTGGGCTCATTTTTTTGGGTTTGTTTCAGGTTTTTTTGAGGTTTGCAGGTTTTTGCAGGGTTTTTGTGTGGGTTTTTTTTTATTATTATTTTTAATTCAACTGGAGATATGGAGGGGAAAATAAAATGAGAAAAACAATGTCTAGTTAAAGCAGAAGCCTGCTTCAGTTAGTATGTATATGTGGCTGACTTTATACTGACTTCACAGTGAAGTTGCTGAATTCTGCTGAATTTGAACATCACAACTTTTGTAGCTTTCATTCCCTGCTTTTTGCTAGGTGTAAAAACTACATGCTCAGAAAAACAAAAAAGAAGAAAAAACGAGAAAGAGCAAAACTGTAGGGAAAGCAGGCTCCTGGAGAGGCTGCGAAACTGTTCTCTTCACAGCTAGGTCCTGCTGACACTCTGTAGACAGTGAAAATTCCGTAAGTCTGCAGGAGAGGGAAGGTCACCATAAAGGCTGAGGTTCAATGAAACTGTTTTTTACAGCTGATCTGACTTTTCCCAAAGTCTAAGAGAGCTGAGATATTTTTGGTACTATTTCTCACACAGAGACCCGCTAAACAAGATATTTAGATCCTGATCACTGAATATAGGGACAATGGGAAGCAGGTCTGAGACAGAGTACTTGTGTCCAAGTGGCAAGCATTTTTATACTATGGCAACCTACCTCACAATAATGAAGCCTGGCAGTGTTTAACGACAAAAGCTGGCCAGTACATTCAGAAATGTGAATGTCAATTATAAAACTTGAATCAGTGCTTCACAATTTATATTTTTGAATTAATTGTTAAACCAAAAAGTATTAACTGGTCTGAGACATTGTTTAAAATTTGCACTACTTCTTCGCAGCAAATACTTCACAGCACCTGATTGTTTACGGAATTGCCTAAACAATTTGTTCTCTTTCTTCAGAATTGTTTTTCTCCCTCATCTCGATATACTCCAAGCCAAAGATTTTCACTTGGGACTAGCCACATGGCGTGTGTGCGTGCTTTACACGCAGGTATACACTCCACGGTAATTATGAGAGAAGTCATCATCACACTGTAGTGGACACAACAGAATTAGACAACAAACTCTTACACGCTGAGGGAAGTGACAGCCTGTCAGGTTTGAAGCGTGCACTTAACTTCTAAGTGTCGGGGGACACCATGTGGACACATAACAATACTTGCACGAACATGAATTTCAGGTATAAGGATCTAAAAGGGGCATATTGTGCACTGCATGAAAGGGGAAGAGAGTTCAGAGGGCTGGTTTCAACGAGTTACAGGAATGAGGGATAAATTAAAAGTGAAAACTTAAACACGCAGCGTGGATTTAAAGAAGTATTTGGTGAAGGGAGATTTATGAATGCTCTGGAGCATCTACTGGCTGGACATATTAAAAAGTTACAGAAAGAAAAGAGGTGAGAAACCAAACTTTGGTGAACAAATAGTAAGTGAGAATGGACTGATTTATTAAAATTTTCAGTTGCCACCTTCCGCTGTTTTTTCATCCTAGAAATCTGCCACTGAAGGCAGCTACAAAATCATCAACCCCACTCTATTAATACAGCGTCTCTGCCGAGTGACTTGTGTATGGGAAGGAAGAACACCAGCTGGCTGCTGTAATATGATCAGTAGATATTACATTTCGACTATTATAAATCACCTCAAATTTCTTCAGTTCTTCCTTAGCAACCGTGTAAAGCACACCAGAGGAGCTTGGGAAAGCAGCTGTCCTCTCAGAGATTTTTAGCCAGTCTTCAAATCTGGAGTAGTCATCCAAAAACTTTTGCCATAGCCGCCACGTCTCTTCAATTCTGCAATAGATAGCGGAAAATTAGGGAATGCTGCTCAGACTGAAGGTCGGCTGACCTACAGAACTTAAACTAAATCATCTACAACAGCAAACTAGCGCTGCACCAGACAATAACTGACTCTTAAGCTGACTCAGACAGCCAGGCTGATAAACAGACCACAGAGAAGGCTGGCTCATTCCAGACTGAACTAGAATAAGATGATGGTGTGTTTTTTTCTTTTTTAAATGCATCTAATTTTGGAATCAGTATAAAAAGAAAGTTATAAGTATGCAATCAGGGCTCTAAAAATTGGAGCGCATGCTAAATAACTCCTGAAATACAGTCCCAGTGTAGGTACCTCAGCCAGTATTTTAGAGATTAGAAATTCCACACTATCTTCAACCACAGAACTTTCTCTTACAGAATGCTGAAGATGTTTGCTGCATATATTTTCAAGTTCTTAGCCATTATTCCGCATTGCAAAGGGACACTAACATTTATTTTTTTTTTTGCACTCACTAGCAAGTGGTAAAATGCTATCTCTCAATATACACTGTAAAGATATTTTTATTTTTAAAAAAGTTAAAAGTTATTCAAATGTTTAAAAAAACCCCAATTTTACTAGCGGCTGACTCTTGATCCTGAATCAAACTGGTTTAATGCTGAGACCGTAAAATCCCAAGAACTTCAACACCACCTGATTCAAAACAACAGGATTTTTTTTTTGGGACAGGTTGTATCACAGCAGAACTTTATCTTTTTCCACATACTGAATACATCTTTCCCAAATCTTAGATATGTAGGTCTGAAAAGGACCCGATCAATGCAAAATTTAGCTTCACAAATGAAGGAGTTCAAACAGTTAAGCACGGTTTATTACTGGTCAGCACAGAACATACAGCATTGGCCCAATCCAGCCTACATCATTATGGCTATCAAAATCACACATGCTATCCTAGATGGGAATAGAAAGCAATGATTCTTCTGGATATCACGGGCATGCAGTGTACAGATGGTCTAAGCATGGGCAGTAAATCAGCTATGCCTCAGCAAAGCCAAGGTGGGCAGATGAGGAAATTCCAGATAACTGCTCAGTCCTAAAATTCTTTCACATAAACAAAATCAGACATAAGAGAAACCCTGTTAAGACACATTAGGTGTATGAAAATCCTAACACCTGGAATAACATTCCACCCATTTGATAACTAGTTTCCCGATCAGTGTCTGGAGTTCTAAGGTAAACTTAAGTGTTACAAAACCTCCTTTTAGGTCATGTTCTCTAAATCTCCTGCAGTCACTGCTGTCATCTAAGTTTTCTCTAGTTTCTATCATTATTTCCTTGAAGTATGGGAAATATGACAACATTCCATCAAAGGCCTTGTGAGCAAAACTTGGTAATTCAAGCAACACGTATAAAGGCACATAGAAATGCAAGCTGAAATTTCTTTTTTTTCACCATGGCATAACAGCTATTGGCTCTCATTCAGCGTATGACCATTTCCTGACCCCTACCCCCTTTTCTTCATTACTGTAACCCTATAACATATATTCCATCCTATATTTGTGCCTGTGAAAGGAAATACTAATTTGCAGGCATTTCAGACTTACTTAAGTCGCCTTTCCATTGACATTGCACAAATGTTCCTCCACCTTCTGTCCAGATTGCGTGTAGCCTGCTGGATAGAGTCACACTCTGCTTCGGTGGCACAAGCATCACAGTCATGAAGAAGCACTTCACACAAATTGAGAACAGATGCTACTCCAGTGCTGTGTTTCTCTATGTCCCTCTGAAGTTCCTACAGGTGAAGAAATTAATTCTTAAGAGAAAGTGCAAAATATGCATAAATACAAATGCATTTCCCTTCTACTTATTAAAAAAATATATTAATAAGCTTGCAAACAGGAGAAAAACATCCAATGAATACCTATTAAGAGACTGCACCTGCGCAAGTGGTGTTGCAATGTTATCAATGAGGCCAGGAGAACCTGGCAGCATGCACAGCTCTCCCAGGGACTATGAACACCAAACCATCCCCTGGGACAAACTGCCAGAGCTCTGCATGCTCAGCTGAGCATCTTTCGCATACATTTAATCAACATCACCAATAAATGGTGGAGTTATTCCCAGCCCTTTCTCATTATCACAGAGAACATAAAGCAGAAGTTAGTACGGGAGATGTGACAAGAAAATTTGTTCTTATCTACTGCAAGGTGGAGGTAGCCTTTGCAAATCTACTTTTCCTCAGGAGAGCTAGCTGCAAAGTGGCATGTTTGACATGGAGGTCAGCAACAGCACATGTTGAACAGTGCATCTCTAGTAGGAGATTTTTCTTCCTTCAGCTTTCCAATTCTATAGCATTTTCATTAGAACCGGGAAAGGAAAATTCAGGACAGCTAAAGAAAATGCACTTACACGATTACACAATTATTATATTTGATCAAGTATTGTTTCTCCTGTCGGTTTCTTGGCTGCAATGGCTTGTTCTACGCTGATGATAATGTTTCATCTTGAAGCAATGTTTCAGGTTCAGTTATGAACTACAAGTTCAAGTTAGGACAAGCTACAAAAGCAATTGGCCACTGCTGTTGGATCAGTGCAAGTAAAGAAACCTTGCTTGACTTCTGCCTACATTTGCAATGAATCTTTAGAATATTAGATGGAAAAACCAGGATGGACAGTAACAAAGCTAAGACAACATAATTCCGATAGTGACAAAGAAGTAATAATTTGACTACACTAAAAAGTGGTGTATTGCACCTGGAATACTATTTTCACTTCTGGTTCAGATGAAGAAAAGAACTCCTAGGACAATTAGGGATGTGGAAGCTTATTTAGGAGAACAAGAACTTGGAAGCTTGAGGATGAGTAGAGATAAACAGCTCTTTATGATTTTGCTAGTGAAGTAAACTGTAACATGCACAGGGAAATAAATACACTGTCAACATAATGTGTCTACATACATTTAAGGCCTAACTAGAGGAACTTTCCTCACAACTATCAAGGTGATGTTCTGGAAATGCCTTCCAGGAAAAATTGAGATCTAAATGTAGATTCTAAAAACCTCAGCAAATTTGAAACGGATTAAGGTCAGCTTGTATCGACCGTCTGATTTAGTTGTTTGTGATAACTGGGGTTGGACTCAATGAGGTAATCTATTTCCTATTCTCATCTATGAAATAGAAAGCTATTTTGTGAACATCTACATGAGACCGTCAAGTGGAAAATCACAATGTTTTCTTCCTCAGCGCTGGCCCTTTCACTTTCACTTGCCTAGAAAATACTCTTTCCTTGTGATGTCCAAATGCTTATTCTTCTTTCTACCCACCCTGAAATGTTATATAAGGGTAGATACTATAAACAGATGCAATACTCTGAAACACATACTCCAGACAGTTATGAGACTTGAGGTTAAGCAAGTTCAGGTAACACAATCTTCTCTGCTGTTTTGGAATAGAGCAGTAGTGAGCTGCCAGTTGGTGGTCCTGCGGTTTGCTAAGGTTTAAGCTTTTTATTTACCTAGAAAACCTTTCTACAAATAATGTCTACACTGTTTTTTCTCCATCGCCTTATATTTCTTTCCCAGATTTAAATATTTTCTATGTTTATTAGAGAACATTTAGCCTTTGGGTTAGTTCACAAAAGAACATTGCTTTTATGCATTGCTGTCACCCACCTACAGATGTTTTTTTCCTTTATCAACCCAAAAGAAATCACCACTTTTTCAACATTTCAAGTGGTTGCAGACTGAGAAAACAAACCAATAGGTAATCCTTGAAATGCAGTTTGTGACCCGAGGAAAATACTGCAGTGCAGTGAAGTTATCCTACCTTTCCTGGAATATCCAGCTTCAATTGTATCTTTAATTTCAGTACAGAGACCAGCAAAGCTGATTCTTGGATGAGCTAGATGCTGAGAAGTAGCTAATGGAGTTACAGAAATTGAATTTGGTCCTCCTCTTTCACAGCATAATATTTTTAATGTAATTTTGTATATGAACAACTGTTAGTAGTATCAGCAGGGAAGACAACATGACTTCAGTGGAAGTAGTAGTATGAGCAGGGAAGACAACATGACTTCAGTGGAAGATCAAACATGGAAAACAACATAAGATCACTAATGGAAGAAGAAAGAGGGATGAAATACTTGAGAAGATGGCGAAAGTCCTGGCCTTATGAGATGTGGTGGACAGTGACAGAGCCTCTGACTAATTAAAATACTGGTTGCCATACACTGAAGGTGGGTGTTTTTTAAAAATTATTACAACAGAAATGGCTTGCGGTGTTACCAAATCAAATCAGCATCAAGTTTCCAAACACGGCATCATCCTAGGATAAGATTCACCTCTACTTCTCCCCTTTGGAGTTCAAATTAAGCCACTCACACTTCTATAGAGTATCACTGCACGGGGATCACCACAAGGAACCAGTAGAAGGCAGAGATACACCAGTCTCTGTGCCCAGAATAAATCCCATAAGAAGTGGTTGCAACAACCTACAGGATACCTGCACAGAGATGCTAGGAAAAAATCTCAAGTATCTACTTCGTTGACAGCAAAGTTTAGCTGTCAGCACTTTATTGTGGCAGAAACACCACTCATTAGTGACACTTGTGTGTTATAAATTATTATCCATATGCAAATTACATATGGAATATTAATAAGCAATTCTGCACAGCCTTGTAGCAAATCAGTTGGGGAGTTGGCAAAAACTCTGAGGGTGTTCTTGGGTCTCAGTCCCACACTTGGCTTAAAAAAGCAAAATGTCAGTTTGTACACTTCATAAATTAATTAGCCCCAAAACATTCTGTCACTCCTCTTCCTACACATTTCTTTCTCCTGGAGAAAGAACTCAGGAGAGCATCTAACTCATCTCCAGTGAGGTATGATAAAGTTATTTTTGCCAGTAAATAACCAAGAGGAACACAACAGTTCAACAGTCCTCCCCAGCAATGTGCTTTAGGAAAAACTGCACTGGGCAGTGAAGTGGAACAGGAAAGAGAAAGTATAGTAAATCTTCTTAGGAGTAACTTTAGTTGTAATGCCAAAACCAAGTTGCCTTCCCTTTTTGCTGCCCATATCAGTGTGGACTATGTTTTCTAGCACTGCATAAAGGCTTTGTGTGCTATAACCCAAACGATTTTAACTTCACATATATAGCTCATGCAACTTTGCGTGCAAAGTGATTCTCAAACAAGCTGCAAAATAAAACTGAGTTAGAAAGATTGCTAAAAAATAGTCATTTTCAAGCATGTGCGAAATTTGCAAGGTCTAATAGGTGTCAGTTTTGCCTCTGGGAACAGACAAGTCAAACAAACAAAAACCACAAATCCCAAAGGAAAACCAATTGCAATAACTCCTTCAGGTTATATCTCTTGGTGCCTTACCTTTCTTGAAAAGGTCAATCAGCTCCTGGTGGATTCGATGTCAAAGCCAGCAGAAGGCTCTATAAGTGACACAGTAAGTACCACTCGCCTTGATATTTAAACACTTCTTTGCCTCATGCCCTCTCAGCATTGAGCCGGCTACAGCCAGCCCAAGGACACTCTACTTCTCCCCGTGTCATTGTGCACCTGATAAGTGTGTTGTATTTTACCTGCTGTTCATTTAGTTTCCTTTGTATTTCCTCAGAGTTACAAGTTTCATAGACGATAGGTTTGGACAGCTCTGACTCAATGTGGGCAAGCCAAGATCTCAGGCTACTCATGTTTTTATCCAGTTGCTGCACTGCAACGAGGGTCTCCTTCAACTTCTTTACCCTGTAAAGGAAAATAAATGGCAGCATAAGTACACACCACTGGAGAATTTCCACAGCATGTGTTTTGGGAAGTTTTCTGAGAAACCTAACTTTGATGGCAAGTTCTGTTCTGAAGTCTGCTTTTATTATGTAACAGAAGTACATGTGCAAATAGTCCTGCATTCATAGGTTCCAGTTAAGAAACATTAAGAGCTTACTAATACCAGACAACATTGTCAAAGTATCTGTACCTTATCCATTTAACCAGTACTAGTGGTGGAGTGCAATGTGTGAACAAGCCTTTTTCACCTCTTTTTCACCTTTTTCACAGTGTTTTCTAAACATTGAACGACATATCATAGAATGATTTGGGTCAGAAGATCATCTCGTCCAACCCCCCTGCAATGAGCAGGGACATCTTCATCGAGATCAGCTTGCTCAGAGCTCAATCCAACCTGACGTTGAATGTTTCCAGGGATGGGACATCTATCACCTCTCTGGGCAGCCTGTACCAGTGTAAAGACTTGTTGTTGAATAAATAGGTTTTAGAGTGAAAAATCCAGCTAAGAACTTAGTGAGAATTCCTGAATCCCAAGGGCTGCCTCAAGGTGGTTTTGGTCTTAATGGACTACAGATTTAGACGGAATGTAACTGCATGACGATTTCTAAGTAGTATGTTTCTTGAGACTCTGACCCTGTAACAGCAATGGCCAGGAAAAATGAAATAGTGGGATGTTTTATTCAAGAGAACATTAAGCTTACAGAGTGAGGAAAATTCAACTAAACCTTCATAGTACCTCGTATTTTTCCTTCAGCCGGTTTCAATTGCAAAAATGTTTGTCAGTAATTCCCTTCTTCCTATTACCATGTTACACAACATACATTAGTGGATTCTGAAATTGTTTCTAAGCTTTTTTTTTTTCTCCATTTATGTAGTACCACAAACAATTTTGAGTAACATTCTTTCTTTTTATGCTTCTACTGCTCTTCCACTTTAGTATTTCAATATGAGAAATCTCTAAGAGATGAGTGCAGCTGGGAATACACAGACTAAATAGGGATGAAAAATACAAGATTGCCAGATTCATCAAACAAACAAAATGCCACCTGACTGTCCTATAATTCAAGCGAAGCAATTCACATTTTTTCCATAATACTAACCAGCAAATTTATCAAGTGTTTCCATATTTAAAGCAGTAGTTGCAGCTGACCAGTCTAATCTGGATGTCCTTTTCTTAACAAAGAAAAGGCAGAGATCCTAATGTCAACTTAAAAAACATAAAAGTTAAATCTTTCAATTTTTTGTCTCTTTCTAGCCCTCATTTTTAGATCACAGATGGTCAAACTGTGGTTCTTTAGCACCAAATATACTTAAGAACAGTTCAAATGCATCTTCTTTGCCAGAGTCTCATGAACAACACCTGCAGGGTTGTGATCTCAAAAAACAGTGTTTTTATCTTGGTAACTGGAAAAAATCTGGGTAATCCGAAAATCTGGCTATGAAGGGACTACGTCAATACAATCACGCTGAAAGACTGCCCCACTCCCCATCCTCAGGTTATCCCAAAACACAACTATGTGTTAAGCCTTGGAGAAATAGTAGAACAACCAATGCCTGGGGGCAACATCTCGTCAGCTACGGTTGTACATACAGTGCTTTGCGGGTTTGGACCAATTGCAACTTGCACATAAAGTGAGCAAGAAGGTTGATTATCACTCTTCTGGAGCTCACAACTTTCCAGTCTCTGACATTAATTAAGAGGAGTGAAATCCTGCCCATTTTCTGCTTAGATTTTCCAGGCTGGATGCTGCTGATCCTTCACAGGCATGCTGGAGCGGGCAAGGGAACAGTGAGTCATGTCAGGCCTGTGCAGAAGCAATGTCACTGTCATTTGCAAGCCCAAGCAGTGGCCCAGGGTTTGCTTGTTTGCAATTGTATAGCACCCTAACCTCCATGCCGGATTTTATTTACACATATTATGTGTAAATACATGCATATTATCATGTGCATGCAGCACATGATAAAGGGCCTGCTATTTAGAAAATGGACTCTTTGCCTTAGACAGACTGCATGGGAATACCACCCTGCCAGAGCAAAAAACAACCTTGTCCCAAATAGAGTTATTTTCAGTCACACGACCTAAGCTACTTAAGAGAAAAAGGAAAAGAGAGTGACATACTAAAAAAATACTCCAAGACCAAAGCCTAGGCCTAAACTTGCCCTCCTGCTAAACTGTTGCGATTCTCCACACCTAATTTCCAAAAGTTTAAAAAAAAAAAAAAAAAAAAAGACAAGGACAACTCCCTTCTAGCCGCTGCTACATTTAATGTTAACACTGTTCTTTTTTTGTACTGAGTCTAACATAACAGGTTCCTTGCCCATGGTACAAATAGAAGCAAACAAATGAGTGCATCTTGGAGTGTGCTGGGCTTACTTTTTTTGACTCAACTGCCATACAGTGTCGTGCCTCTAGCTACTCTGAAAACATATCTGCTAACAAGTAAGAGATGTAATCCCTCATGTCTAAGAGTTTTCCTTCTGAATTTTAGCAGGCAAGACGTCTATGCTCTTCATCTCACTGAATATTGTGCCTGTGTACAAATAATAACATAATGCATGTGCAAGAAAAATATCTCTCTTAAAAATGCAACAGCTCACAATCCTATTTTTCCACACGAATGGTGGGCCCTGAAAGCTAATGACACTAAAAGCTCTGCTTGGAGACAAAAGTTAAACTATAAACCACTGAAGTTTGTAGGATCCCTAGCCAATTGTAATTTTGACCTTTTGATATTTCATTTACAGATTATGTTTAAACAGTTAATTATTCCAATAATCATCTCACGTTTTTGTTGCAGCACAATGCATGTTACTGCAAGAGACAGTGTTACTGCAAGAGATAACTCCTCTCCTTGATAATGAAGACTCTGCATTGAAATCCAAATGGTTGGACCCATGACACAGCTGTTTTAAAGGCTGTTTTTTATACAAGACACACACATCAGTCTTACTACATTTTACAAATGCGTAATACTCTCAGAAAGGAAAAAACTGCAGAATTCAGTTGTTTATTTTTATGATTTACTGATGAAAACTCATCGAAAAATTTGAATGGGCTAATGATGCTTATGTTTCCATGTTCCAATCACTGTACCTCAGTTACCCCAAGGAAGTAATAACTTTAAAACATCTATTTTACATTAAGAAAAGACAATGAGAGAGGAACTTGGAGCTGAAATTAAGCACAAATAGCTTTAAGTCAACTACTCCTAAGTTAGACAGCCTTAGATTCCAATTAAACCTAAAAAGGAACAACCCTGTAAATACATAACAATGCATCATATAGAACTCATAGCTACTGCGTTAGTCATTTAGACAGCTGGTTACTAATATTAAACTTCAAAAGCAACACAAAAAAAGTCAGAGCATGTTCTATGAAACAGTGAAAAACATGATGCTATTAAAATCAGTTTAAATGTAATATTTTTATGATTAAAAAAGCTTAATTGCCCAAAGTACAGTACTACTGCATACCAGGACACTAGCACTGCCAGTTATATTTGCTCTTCAGATCACAGTTTCCCCCTTCAAAAGTAAATTTCTAGAGCTCTGAATAACAGCAGCAAAAAATCTAGAAAAGATATTGAGAAAAGGGAAAAATAGAAGCTGAATCAAAAACCCAGGATGATGTAGGCTGAGTTCAAGTATTATATGCAGTTACAAAACAGTCATTAATATGCACAGGACAGACCCGCTTCAGTAAGTTAAGTCTGAAATACTTTCTTTACAGTGTCTCTCCTTCTCTGCCATTTGCTTGTAGCCATGCCCCTTTGATGACACAAACAGTGAGCAGACAAATACAAACTCTGCTTTCTCTCATGTGTGTACGTGCTCTTGTATTTAAAAAACAGCAGTAAAAACAGACTACAGTTTGTTTCAGATTGCTATGAGATTCTACTAGTTCTAAGTATGCATCATTAACGAAAAACTACTCTGGGATCCAAAAGTACTAGCTGTAAAACAAAGTATGCTGTTATCACTGTCAACTGTTTTGAAACTGAGCAGAAAACAGTAATTTCTAGCTAAGGTAGTGATTTCTACATATCAATATTTCAATTAGTTTCCCAGCAACCCAAGACTTCAGAAAGAACCGTCTCAATCAAAAGCAAACAAAAATAGCTTCCTGCCTTGTGATATCACAATTACAGTCTGGGAGATCTGAATCCACACTGCCGTCCTCCGCCATCCTCGCAGCGTGCAAGTCCTCCGCCACCACCATGAAATTTTCCAGCATTAAAAAGAAGAACTTCCACTCCCAAAGCCTGCAAGCGCTGTGCTTTGGGCGGGGGTTGGGGGGAGAGGAAAGGGGACACACTTCTCTTTGCTGGTGAGTACTGGTCAGAAAATGTTGCACGCCAAACAAATGTTAGCAGCCGTTGCCTGATAACATGAGACTGAACGGTGACAAGTGGTCATGTTTCTAAATAAAACCTGCATTCATCAACATGTGCCAGGCTTGATCTCCAGGAATGTGGAGCGTCAGTGCAAGGGGAAGGGATGAAAACACATACAACAAAGCCTCCTCTGCAAAGCCTGAGCAGTTGTGGTAATAGCACTGCTTCCTGGCTGTAAACATCTGTAACATTTTTTTTCACTGGGCTGACATATCGGAAAAATTCATCTGAAAGGATGAAAATGTTCTAGAAGGACAGAAACAGAAGTCTCTGATGCAGAGATGCAGCTACCTTTCTGTAGCTGTCTCTTCTGCAGTTACAGACCCCCTCAGAATAGAGAGGTAATTAAAAAAAGTGGTAAGGGAACAGAACGTGAGAAAGGAAGAAAGAGACTTTTAGAGGTTGATGCACTGTGCAGCATAAAATCAACAGGTAAAGAATCAGGCTGGATGCATATTACTATTCTATATTACTAAAGCTTTTTCATAGAGTACTTTCAATTCATTCACAGCTGTAGGAAACAAACCACTAATTAAAATGCTCTAGGCAAGGGATGACTATAGCTTTGCAGAAAAGCACACAGGCTCTAATAATTTATTAATGCTGCCAGGGATCCAGAATATTAAAATATTTGTATTCTCAACACCAGAACAATCAATATGCGGTTACTAGCTCTGTGCAGCCAAAATTATGTTACAGGACACATTCCAAACTCCAAAATATCATTAACGTGAACACACCCCAATATATAACAACATATTCCAAAAAGCCTCTGGAGCCTTCTAAAAATTCTCTTGGAGGATGCAAATCCTTTTGTCCAGTGGAAATTAGCCATCAATATAAGTACTTTGTACGTACATTAATCAACAACTTGGGCTTTAACTGCTATAAGCCTAATCTACAGCTGAACAAGCAAGATTTCCACAACCTAGCACCAAACCTCTCCACCATTTACTTTGCAACTTCAGCAATGCAACGTTCAAACTTTTATATCTCCCCCCCACCGTATGGCACATAATCCTGACCCCTTACCTGTCCCTATGCGGACACTAACCTCTATTACTCAATAGATAATACAGATCTTTTAAAGATGTGTTTTGCAGTTTCTGAATGCAATCACTTTTCACTAGAAGCTTCCTGAAGGTATTATTTGAACATTTGTCTCAGTAGGTGTTTCAAAAGACAACACAAAAGTATGGTAAATATACTTTATGTACAACAACTGGTGATGTATCACATCCTCTGAAACCAGCAGGCTCCTCGACTGTAATGCACCACTTCCTGACTTAATTATTCTGTGAGAAACATACAGTGTTCATTACTTTAAAATGAATCACCATAAAAGGAGCTGGAGCCACCAGAACGCTTCTGCTTACATAAAATTTACTGCTCCCGTGTTTACAGATTTCAGAGGAAGAATGCAGTAAAACCATATGAAAGAAGAACAGAAGAAAAGAGATGATGAAAGTAAACAAACCCTTTTGCTGCTAACAGGACAAAAGTATTACTGATTGATATGTCCTTACACCACAGAAGTGTAAAGTATAAAGTATATCTACATTTAATGAAGGGTAAAATTATGCCAAAATTATTGTGGGTAATGGGAGGGAGCCTGTAGTACGACTCAGCAGAAGTTATTGAAAGAAATAAACCAGTTTCTTCACATATCAAACAACAATCCTGTATTTCTTTAAGTAATGAAACTTGCTGTTATGTTTTTGCCCTTGAGTAAAAGGAATCTTTAAGTCCAGTATGCATATGTCTACCTGCAGTTACTCTTCTCCATCAGTGAAAAACTAATCAGGCAGAAAAACTAAGACTTAAATTTTGGAACAGCTCTTCTTGAAATCCAAAACTACAAATGCACTGTTTCAATTCCTCTGCCAAGAATTATTTAAGAAAAACTACATTTGCACCCAGTTTTAAGTACTCATCAGAAGTAAGATAATATTGGAGCAAGGCTCACTAAATCTGACTGCAACAGATCCTATCCCATTGTAACAGATGATGTTTTGAATTAACTCCTGAAGAAATGCTGTAAAGTAAAGCAGGAAGGTGAATTTCACAGAAGTGTGTCGATGGTTAAGAATAAACTCATTTCACAGTTAATGATGGAAAGCAGACAATAAAAAGATTTTAAATTCATGACATCCAGCAAATTAATCTGTCCCACTTAGAAACAAAACAACTGTTTTACCTGGCTGCAATAAGATCTAGAAGATGTTGCCACCTGTCATTGATCTTGCCAAGCTTGTACTCAATTTCTGATGCCTTACTCTCATGGCTGGCTTTTGCTAGTCGCTCTCCCATTTGCTGGAGCTGGATTTTGTTCTTCTGGGCTACTGCAATTTCCTCTTGATAATCCTGGGCAGTAAAAAGCAATCAGAAGTCAGGGTACTTATTCTGAATGCTCTCTGCTCTACACTACTAAAGGAACCATACAAAACTGTAAGTGAATGTTAGTTTTTTGGTGAGTGGTACAGTGGACAGACAATCTCTTAACTATTAGATGTACAACCACAAACAACTTTATCAGAAGAATGAAAAAAAACCCCAAAACAAAACACAACACCTTCTGGAAATATATCTGCTATAGCTAAACTCATTATAGGCAATTCTGATTAGACATTTAGTAAAGTATTCAGATGTCTTTGACTTTGCATTCAGTTAATTTTCTGGTATCGTGGGAGGTCCTACCTCAAGAAATGAGGAAAATGTTCCATAGTGAGAGAAGAATACAAACATACAGTCTTACTGGAACTTACGAATGTCAGTGGAAGGTAAAATCTCCATTTAAGCTAATTCAGTATCCTCTTTGGAAAACAAAACAATTAAGTAGTTAAAGAACAGTCTGAAAGCGTACAAGCACTGCACTGTACCTTTTTAAGTTTCTCAATCATTTCTTCTATGAGGATATCGCCATTTTGAGAAACTTTACTTTCCATTTGTGTCAGCCACTCACAGAGCTCCTTGTTCTTCTCACTGAAGACAGCCCACTCATTCAATCTCTCACTAACTTGCTGTCGACGTAAGGAGACCTGAAAACATTTGCACAGAGTGAATAAAACCAAAATAGTAAATGCATTTAAGAGATGCTTGAAACACTTTGTGCTTCAATGTGAACTCCTCTGGCCCTGCAAAAATGTTCCAGCCACTTACTTGCCATGAAAACAAACTGGAGCTGTACTGAAAAAACTTTGTGTAGGTCTCTGTGAGTTTAGAGGTAACTGTTAACCTCAGGTTTCCTGTTAGCTACATTCTATGCACAAAGAGAGCCATCCAAGCATTACGCTCAGTAGCCTGTCAATATCTTACTTTATAATGTCTCTAACCCAAAGTTTTCACTACAAAAATAAGTCTTACAATTTTTGCTCACATATAAAATGTTAGAAAGTATATTAATAGTTTCTTTTTAGTCTAAGAGATTAAATGAGAAAGGAAGATATAAATGCTTGACCAAAGCAAAAAACCATATATATATATATATATATATAGCATAGGACAAACTTCAAAAGGCTGTGTAATTTGTACATCGGCAAGATTTGTAAGTACAAAGGTAAATCAAAGACACAGTTTTGCATGAGCGATTTACTACTTGAGTCCCAATGCACTCATTTCATAGACAACTATTTCTCCTGAAAGGGCAGCACACCTTGAGAGATTCCAAAGGACTGAGGTGTGCCCTGACAGGAAAGAATAGGCATAAAACATCAAACAGGCTAATGCTGTAGTTAATACAAGAGGAAGGAAAACTCTGCTATGCTTAAGAAATTTCTATGGCAGTAGTGCCATCTCTGACTATGAATAGTAACAGAGAGACAAAGATGACATTGAAATCAAAATACCAGCAGAGGGTGAGCAGCAAACTCTCCTCTTTCAGACATTTGTACAACTACTTACTTCCTCCCCATTGTAATCTGCATAATTTCTGAGTTTGTATCAGTATTTCAGCTGGGAAGATGAAGACTGCATCTGCTCTTTCATAAGTAAAAGCAATGTGTTCTTTAACTACTGTGTTAGGTTTAACAAGGGCGTACACATGATCTCGCATTTCCTTTTTGCGGTTCTAAGCTTGATGGCAGCTTTCCGGAAATAAGCAACATTTGAACAAAGTGTTGCACTAGGTTACATCCTGAAACACTCAGTACACACAAAAATAAGAAAAGACCTCTTTGCTTGACTCCCTCCTTTACCATAAACATATATGCAGTAACTACACCATAGTTCAGCAGTATCGACATTGGCACACTCAAAACCAATTAACTCGTAACAAGTTCCGTGCTGTTAACTGTGAAGCATTTATTCCAACTTTGGGGGTGTTCTTGAAGCCTTCACAGGTACTTTATATGAGGTAACTATTTCAGAGTTAGCCCTGGAATATCTGAACTACAGTCTCTGCTGTACCACAGAAATGACATTAGGATGATCTGAAAAGCTGGGTAAGGAAGACTCCACTACCTGGATTTCTAAGCACAAAATAGAGGCAAGGAACACACTACTAGCATGATGCACCTGAAAAATCAAACAATACTTCTCAGCTCATTTCACAGCCAAGTAAATAACCCTCAGACATCAAAGTCTGAAGAGATAGAAGTTATCAGCCAAACTGAAGGTACAATACAGTAATGTTGAGAGAGGGAGGGACATCCTTTCTGAGCACAGCTCCTCCACTAATGCCCAGTAAACTGTGTATTACTTGTGTTGTTTTCCCCAGACACCCATGCCACAGTCCCACAGCACACAGTGTGACTTGTTGGTTTTTCAAGGCTGCTTAAATATGACCTCATGGCCACGACAAAGTTCAAGAGATCTAGAAACACTAGCAGTAACTAAAGGAAGCATTTCAACAGATGTTTTCCCTGATTCACCAAGGGTTCAGTTTTGGATCTGAGTGTGCCTACGTGCATCTTTACCAAAATCTGCCACTTGTATTCAAATTTTTTTTTTTTCCCAACGCTTTTGTAGCCTGCATACTCGTATCAGTGCTCAGTACTACACTTACCTGGTGCAAAAGCTGCCACTTATATTCAATTTTTTTTTCCCCAATGCTTTTGTAGCCTGCATACTTGTATCAGTGCTCAGTACTACACTTACCTGGTGGCACAGCTCCTCCCACTGTCTGTGCAGAAGCTCTATGCGCTCACTGAGGATTGAGATATCGTCTGCACTGATATACATTGACAGGGTCTCCTTCAGCAGAGAGAGGTGTGCAAGGTCATCTGTCCATCCTTCAACAGCATTCTCTAACTCCTTAAAAGAAGCGCACAAGGAAAAAGGACCAGTTTGCTAACAAATAAAAATTTCAATGTGTTGATAAAGCACAAAGTTGAGCATTCTTACCCCACTGAATTAAAGTTACATCTGAGCAAAACCCACCATTTAAAGAGGTGCACAAAGAAAAAGGACCGGTTTGCTAACAAATTAGAAATTTCAATGCGTTGATAAAGCACAAAGGTGAGCATTCTTACCCCACTGAATTAAAGTCACATCTGAGCAAAACCCACCATTTAAAGAGGACTGTTTCAGCCTTGTTTAAAAGAAAAAAAAAAAAAAAAACATCCCCACATGTACCAGTATTTTCAGAGTTATGAGAGAGGTAACTTCCCAACAGAATGATAATTCAACCTTGTAACAAGTACTCACAAACTAATATACTACTCAAATCTCTCTAAAGTTTGAAGGTTTTTGAGAATTCCCAGTATTGGTTTCGACTTCTCTGTACTGAAAATATTTTAAATCTGTAATACAATTCTAAACTGCAAAGAATATAGCAAAAAAGTGTTATCTAAGACACACACCCCCCACCTGGTCAAATAAAAAGCACTAAAACAACAGTTTATATACCATGAGTTTAAATTCGAAGTTAGAATTTCTATAATTGAAACACACCAGTATTTAGCACTTGTACAGTACTTTTCAGACCCTGTTCTGATCTCACTTTGATCAGATCTGTGTTTACGTTACAGGTATTATGCTGTCCAAATGTTACAAGGATAGTTTCTTGTAGCAGGGGTGGCTGACTGGTTTGTACAGTCAGTAATGTGAAGCCTATTAACCACTGAAAATGTTACTACACAAAGGCAGGCAAAGATGGGACAACAGTCAACAGAGAACAAGTGCTTTACCTTGCAGCGAATCTGCTCTGCGTGCAACTCATCATGGTGTTCTGGCAAAGGCTGAGAGAGGTTTTTTTTGAATGATCTTAGCTTCTCCAGGGAGTCTCCTATGCCCTTTTCACATTTCTCCCAGTCCTGAAGGAACAATGTTTATGAGACTTCAATTCAGATCTGGATTATACATATGTCAGTTCATTTGCCTAACTAACCACTAAACAAGGAAAACTTTTTCATAATAATAGCAACATGCCCTGAAATCCCTCTCTAAAGAATACTTAGTCTCAGAGCTTGAGTCATGTGTATAACTGTGTCAATTCTTTTTTTTTTTTCCTATGTAGGTGTCTGCTAGTAGAAATACACAAGCCAAAGCCTCCTGTTACTACAATGCTGTCTAGATCTACCTCCATCCATTCAGAAAAGACTCTGCCTGCCAAAATGATTTTCTACTTCCTTTCTTAAACACCTGGACTAAACACGCCACTGTTCTTTGACAAAAGCTCCGTTCAGGTGCATTAATCTCCAGAAAAAAAAAAAAAAAAAAAAAGTGGTGG